GGGACATCTCTAGCACGGTGTGTTGACATCTGTGCGTTGCGTTCAATGGTATCACGTCATTTGGTGCTGTGGTGTTCCCACAGCATGCCGATCAAAGCCGAGGCGATTTTAACGCAGGTCGCTTGCTGAGTCGTTTGACCCAGGTAGATACGCGTCAGTGAGCTGTTCCCACTGCCACTAAAAGCGATGGTTCACGGGTTTAATCAGGTTTTACAGCCAGTGGAAAAGGGGTATATGTCAGCTTTAAACAGAGAAGTCAGCATTGGAAGTGGCGCCATGACGGTTAGCCTTGGAGCATGAAGGAAAGGAGAACTATTGACCTCAGTAATATATCTCATGACTGCTTTAGATGACATGGTGGGTGTGTGTTTGTGTGGCCTTGTTTTTTTTCTACATGTTGGGGACAGTTTTTAGTTAAAACACTACATCATGGGGCCTCGTGGGGGCCAACGCCTCGTCCAACTGGGGGAGATTACAGTTTTACACTTAGGTGTTCAGTTTGGGCTAAGTTGTCAGGAATTAACCCATAATGGTTAGGTTAAGGTAAGGGTTGTGGTTAAGCTGTAGAAACTACCTACAAATGAACTGAAGTCAATAGAAAGTCCCCACAGAAACATAGAAATCTTACATTTGTGGATTTTGTTTTTTTGTTGTTGTTTTTTTACCTTGTGGGGATGATTTCCCGGGAATATACTACATTTTGAGGATTTATAGGCATTTGTAGGGACCAACAACCCATAAGCAAAGGCTGTCTTATTGGGGTGAGGGGTTGAATTAAGCATTACTAAAGTATGACTAAATTTAGGTTAGGGTTAGGCCATAGAAATTAGTGGAAGTCAATGGAAGATCCCCACAGTGAGGTGTTAGGGTGTTTGGTGCGTGTCATTTTCCTTCAACAACCTTCTCTAAAAGCTTCTCTATTTGACCCAGCACGGTTTTCACCAGGTTTATCTGAACTCACCAATATACTGGGGGGTGCCACTTGTGGTTCTGTACTCCTCTCCGGGGCAAAAACGATGAGCAAGGCCGAAGTCGATGAGTTTAACGTTGAGGTGCGGTGAAGCTTTGTCTGACAGCATGATGTTTTCAGGCTGAATTTGGAACAGAAAGCATTTTTTTGCAGTTTGAGGCGTTTCAAATCACATGAGCTCATCAACAGTCGGCTGTTTGTTACCTTAAGGTCAAAATGGGCGATGTTGTTGCTGTGCATGAACTTCAGTCCCTCCAGGATTTGCTTTAGAAACTCGATGGCCTCGCACTCCAGAAGGTTCTCCTTCTCAGCGATGAAGTCAAACAACTCCCCCCCGCTAACACTGCAATGTGAAACGGAGGGACGGGTAACAGATAACAGCTTTAATGGCACCAGAACCATAACGAATACACCCTGAGCAAACTTCTCATATTCAGTTTACTGCTCCTTTAGTAGTATTTCTGCCTGTGTACTGTTATTTCTGCTTTCCACAGTAGTGAAAAGGCAGTTCTTTTTATTGTCTAATATTAATCCGAGCTAACTTTATCTGTGCCGCCTTAGTTAGGATTACCAAAAATATTTTATTTGATAAATACCACAACCAAAAAAGGTCTTAATTTTTTTACTTCAGTAGTTTGAAAACTGCTCTTTATTATATAGTAGAATTCCCTTTAAACGTTAATGCTAATATTAACCATCACCCTAATTAAAGGAACAGCAGTTGGCTTGTTTAAATCCTATTTTTCTGTCAATTTTCAGTGTCTTCATGTTAATGAAGTTGCTCTTCAAGTTCAAGTTTTCTTGTGGAATACCACAGGGCTCGGTGCTGGGGCCCTTTTTTTTTTGCTTCCAATTTGTACAATTATTAAACAGCATGAAATAAATCCCTACTATTTCTTTAATTATATGTTTCTATTTGTTACTTCAAGGCTGGACTATTGTAATTCTTTACTATCAGGAAGTCCACAAACTGTAGTTAAAAGCCTTCAGCTGATCCAAA